AGTTTCTTATTTGATTCCTTTATTCCTACGGCTTCTTTTTCTTTCTGAATGCTGAGCTATATTCAGTATCTCAAATTTAGAAATTTTGTATCTTTTTAGTCAACTCAACTTTGTTTTAAATTCAGGGACCTTCTTCATCTCTAACAATGCTTTTTACTTTCATATCTTTTATTTCCACCCGTGTGAATGGAGCCATTCCTGTTTGCTTTGGGTTTATCTTCTTCTAATCTTTGACAGCCATTGTTTCTGAAGCCTGATGTTTTAGTTGTCTTTGTAGTCAGTATATAGCTGGGAATTAAAAAATTCAGTCTGAATAATTTGGTGTTTTAATTGGAGAGTCTTGTCCTTTTGTACTCATAGTGAATACTGATGTATTTGTGTTTCTTTCAGCCAACTTACTTTGTACTTTCTGCTTGTCTCTCTTCATATGCCTTCTTTTGAATTCAATGGGTTCTTTTCTCCCTGTTTCTTTGTTTCCCTCTACTAGTTTGGAGTCCTGATGTGGTGCTGTAGGCTAAGCACTGGACTGTTCATCCCCAGGTCAGTGGTTCTAGCCCACTAGCTGCTCCTCGGAAACCCTATACAGGGTCACTATGAGTCAGAACTGACTCGATGGCATTTACCATCAACGAGTTCGAAGACAGTATTCTTTTTCTGTTCTTTCACTGGTGTATTTAAGATCTTGGCTAAAAAATTTTAAAGTTAGTCTATCAATATCTTTACCCTTGTCTTGAGCGATGCAAAGAACTTAGAATACTTTGACTTGGACTACTTTGATTTTGTTTTATATGCTCTTATTAGCTACTATTTAAATTCAAAATTGCATTTTTTAGCCACAAATTTTGCATTATTAGTATTAGTATTCCATACAGTCTGTGTTTATTTGGATTTAATAATAGTATTTTGGCTCACCAATTCCAGCTCTTCATCTGAAACAGTTTCCATCTCCCTGAAGTATGTCCGTTTGTATTTCTTTTAGCAAGGGTCTTTTGGTGATAAACCTTCTTAGTGTTGATGTAAATTGCCTTTATTTCATATTCATTCTTGACAGTTTTTCTAAATATACAATTTTGGGTTGGTGCTATTACTAGCCCACTGAAGACGTTGTTACTTTGTGTTTTTGTTTCTGTTGTTGTTATTGTAAATCAGCAGTCTGTCTGTCTGTCTGTCTGTCTGTCTGCTATAGTTGTTTTTATTTCTTTACTCTCTGGCAGCTTTTGAAACTTTTTTTTTCCCCGCTGTCTCTGTAGTTTCACCATGATGCATTGAGGTATGTCAATTTCTTTTTATTTAGCCCGCTCAGGATTTGTTGAGCTTCCTGAGTCTGAGGATTAGGGTCTTTCAATAATTATGGAAAATTCTTACCTATTATCTTTTAAAATATTGCTTCCTTCCCACCCATTTTATTATTTCCTTCTGGAATTCCCATTAGGGCTGGACTGTCTCCCTCAATCGTCTATGTTAGGTATTCCATCTCTTACTTTCCTCAAATTCATACTGTAAATTCAGAATTTTTTATTTTTGCTGTGTCCGATCTGCTGATGAATCTTTTAAACAAATGCTTAATTTAAATTCTCTTATTTATTTTTATTTCTAGAAGGCTTAATGGATCCTTTTCAGATCTGTTAATCCCTTTTTTGTATTTCCAAGCTTCTCGTTTTATTTAACATAGTTAACACAGTCTGATAATTCCAATATTTGAAGTTTTAGTTGATCATTTTTTGTATGTTATGGATGCTGGTTTTCAGTTATTGTGCCTTGTTTCTTTGTAAATTTAAAGATCTTTGGCTCATTTAGCCTGAAAAATCACCTGTGGGAAGTTGTTTGATTTTGTTTTAGTTAGAGATGAAATTCACATAACATAAAGTTAACTGTTTCAAAGTGAACAAATGTAAATCAGTGGTTCCAGTACCTTCACAGCACTGCAGGACCACCACCTCTGTCTAGTTCCAGAACATTTTCATTGCCCCCCTCCCAAATAAAACCTTATATCCATTAGCACTCACTCTCAGGTCCTCCCTCTGCTGAAAAAATCTTGTTTTATCTTTGTTCAGATCTGCCTATTCTAGATATTTCATGAAAACGGACTGATACAGTATACGATATTTTGTTTCTGGCTTCTTTCTTTTAGCATGGTTCTGTAGTATGCATCAGTACCATAGGCGCCCTGGTGGTACCGTGGGATAAACACTAGACTGCTAACTGCAAGGCTGGCAGCTCAAAACCCACCAGCCTCTGTGAGGGAGAAAGATGAGGCTTTTTGCTCCTATAAAGATTCAGAGCCTAAGAAACTATACAGGGTTATTAGGAGTCTGACTCAACTCAGTGACTTTGGCAGTGGGTGTGGATACCCTATGTGGTTTTTTAAAAAATGTTTTATTGTGAATTATGTGATAGTTTACATGGGAGAACATTAGTTTTACATTCATCCTATCGTATATCGTTCCATTGCTGTGGTTACAGTCCCCTCCATGCGTCATCAACCAACCAAAGGATATATCCTACAAGTCTGCCGCCCCCCACCCCCCTCGTTGTCAGCACACAGCCCCTCTCCCTCTCTGGATCTAAAGTCCCCAGCTGCTCCATCTCTCCACGTCATCATCTCTGCCTCCATTTCAGGCATCACTGCTTCTCTGGGTAGGGTCCCGCTTTCTGCTCTTCTTCCTTGATGGTCCTAGGGACCTCTGCTCCTAGACTGAAAAGTTAATCACGCCCCTCCTTGCTATAAAATGTCTACCTTTACATTTCCAACCCTCACAATCAGTCCTGATAACAATTATTCACTATTGTATCACAAGAGACCTATCCGCATTTCCTTTCATCAGCCCCGCCTAGACAGATTGGATACTACTCAGTGGGTACCTTGTGTTTTGATGATAATGAATCCATTACCCTGGAGTCAATTTACAATAGCTACTCACAGTGACCCCCGTAGGAAAGAGTGGAACTCCAGAGTTTCCAAGGCTGTAATCTTTTTTTTTTCTTTTTCCCAAGGCTGTAATCTTAAAAGTGTTAAAGAACCAAGATGACACTTTGAGGAGTAAGGTATAAATGACTGAAACCATGGTATCTTCAGTTACCTCATATACATGTAAAAGCTGGACAGTGACTAAGGGAGAGTGGAAATACATTTGAATTGTGGTGTTGATAAGACATAAGGACTATACCATGGATTGCCAGAAGAAGTAATGAATCAGTCTTGAATAAGTAGAGCCAGAATTCTCCTTAGAAATAAGAATGGGAAGACTTTTTTGTCACATGGACTTCGGCATGTTCTTGGGAGGGACCAGCCCCTGGAGAGGACATCACGCTTGGTAAAGTAGAGTCAGCAAAAGAGAGGAAGACCCTCAATGGGATAGATAGACACAGTGTTTACAACAATGGGCTCAAACAGAATTATTGTGAGGATGGTGCAGAACCAGCAGTGTTGTGTTTTGTTGGGCATAAGGTTACTATGGGTTGGAACTAATTCAATGGCACCTAATGACAACAATCTTTGTGGACGTATACTGCCACATCTTTCTCCCACAGAGCGGCTGATGGGTTCAAACTGCCAAGCTTTAGGCAAGCCCTTAGCCACTGCTCCACTAGGGGTTCTTTTGACGGAATAACACCACAGTTCGTTTATCCATTCAAACATTTGTGGGAGTTCTTTGAGTCCTGGAATGAAGTTAAGTCTCTTCAGAGAGAATTTGCTTGTGTTTCTGACAATCACCTGGGGATGCTACAAACCCAGGACTCTTTTCAAAGTAAATTCTCTGCTTCAGGTTTTCTCAACCTCACAGAGAAAATGAATTAAAACTGCAAACCCGTGTGGTTATAAATTCGCCAGAAGAGTGAGTTGTTCTCTTTTCCCCAGTAGAGTTAATTTCTCTTTCACATGTACACTGCAGTGTTCCCCATGGGGGTCCCAGTTTTATTGCCAGAATCTGTTGGATTCTCCACCTTGGGCTGGCCACCTATGCCCAGTCTCAGGGTCCCCAGGGGTTTCCATTTGTTGAGGGAAGTTTCTGTGGCTTAGTAGTGCAGTTAACAACATGTTTTGTGTATGGTATCCAGCATTTGTTTATTTAGGTCAAGAAGGTTGACCCAAATAGCCCAGAAGTGGAAGGGCCCCCTGATCTCTTACCATTACCCCCATGGTAGTAGCGTCCTCTCAAGCCCTGCTTTCTCCAGGTGGCTCAATGGGTAAACCTCTTAACTAAAAGGTCGGGAGTTTGAACCTACCAGCCACTCCATGGAAGCAAAGACCTGGCTGTCTACCCCATGGGGCACTTCTCCATCCTAAAGTGTGACTCCAGGCACATCCCCTGTCAGTTTCCTTTTGTTCTTGGATTTTATCCACATAAACCCCACCCAGGATGCTGCTGACCCCTCGCCCTCCTTGAGCTCCTTACTCACTGCTCTGTGGGCCTCATTGTACTCTCATTGTCCCCGCCCTGCGATATGCTCCTCCTACCCCTGCTGGGCTGACTTTTGTGTCCTCTTCCTGAGCTCAGCTCACTGTCTCCTGAGTTCTCAACTTTCCCTGCCCATTTTTAGAATGTGTTTAACTTTGGTTTGGGTGAAAGTTTACAGAGCACGTTAGTTTTCCATTCAACAATTTACACAGCGTTTGTGGCATTAGTTACAATCCCTTCAATGTGACAGCATTCTTCCCACTTCCTCCCTGGGGTCCCCATTTCCATTTGTCCTTGCCTGCCCCTTCCTGCTTTCTGACCTTGGATTTGGGGCAGATGCTGCCCTTTGGGTCTGTGTTGTTCTGTAGAGTGTGTTCCTCATGGGTGGTGTTTGGTTGGTTGAATAGTGACCTCAGGGGTCTTTGTAGGTATTCAGTTCATTAAGTTAATTGACTTGTTGGAAGTCCACCCCTCCTGGCAGGGTTGAGTCTGAACCCGCTGCCTCCCTGGCATACAGGGGGCACGCCGTAATATTTGCTGAATGGTGGAGGTGAAGGCTTTGGACCTCTCTGGCTCATTCCTGATCCCAACTTTCCGCAGCCACCTTCTGGGTGAACCCGCAGTTCAAAGTCCGGTTGGATAAGGTGGACGACAACGATGACGACTACGGGGGCCGAGAATCAGGCTGCAGCTTTGTGCTCGCCCTCATGCAGAAGCACCGTCGCCGCGAGCGCCGCTTTGGCCGCGACATGGAGACGATTGGCTTCGCAGTGTACGAGGTGAGCCCCTGAAACCACAGAGCCCCGCCCAGAAAGCCAGTCTCCCGCCCAACTGCAGCCGAGTTTCCACCAGGGGGCGCCAAAGGACACTGCTGCGGGCGCTGCCCATCCTAATGAACTGGATATGTCTCACCTGCAGGGCAGGTAGCCCTGGATGGAACCTCAGATAGGCACACACTAAAACCCTTTGCCAGGCCTGAGTGGGCTGGGGAGTAAAATTCATCTCATGAGGCAGGTAAAGGGCAAATTCACTCCATCCTCAGAGGCTGGAAGGCTGCCCATTGGGAGAGGGAACAGCCTCTGGGGCCAGGCTTTGGCTCCGTTTCAGAAAGTACTGGGCAGGTGGGCTGCCCTGGAGAAGTAATGAGCTCCTTGTCTTGGAAGCGTGTAAGCAGATTGGCTGTGGCTGTGGATGAGTGGGCGGGCGTCCTACCCCTGGAGAGCTTGGACTCTATCTTCGTCCCTGAGCCCACTCTGCTTCGCATCGTGTGTTCAAGACAGGTGCAGAAACTTCTGGAGCTTCCTGGCCAGGGTAACAGAGATGACAGCCTCGGCCCATGCTCAATTGACAGCAGACTGATGAAGATTTCTATTGATCTAGGGATTTAAGACATTGCTGTTAGCCCCTTTGGGGACTGCCCTGGGGATTTTGATTCAGGGGTCAGGCTCAGGACATGCCAGAAATGAAGTGAATGCTCAAACCTGCCTGGACCCTCTCTCCTGGGGTCCTGGGTACCCCTCTGGCCTGAGGATGGGTTTGCGTCCACACCGACACCAACCCAGAGTTCCTGGTACCCTCTCATCTCCAGTCTCTCTCCTTTCAGAGCGCAGGACGCTTACTTAGCTTCTCAGTCTGCGCATCTTTCCCAGGGACCAACAAAAACAAAAACAAAACCAAATAAAACCAGTTGCTGTTAAGTGGACTCAGGCAACTTCATGTGTGTCATGGTAGAACTGTGCTCCATAGACTTGTCACTGGCTGATTTTTCTGACTCAATGTGCTAGGCTTTTCTTCTGATGCCCCACTGGGTGGATTTGAACCTTCAACCTTTTGGTTCAAAGTCAAACACCTTAACCATTTATTCTACCCAGGGACTCCAGGGATGAACACACATCTTATTTCTCCATTGCTCTTTTTTTATTTTGGAATTTTTTATTGTGAGTTCATCAAAGAGTAGATCATCAGTTTTACATTCAGCAAATTACATTCTTCGTTTCATGTTAAAGATTGTAAACCATGTTACATCAGTTATCCCACTTCCTCCCTCCCTGTAATTCTTGTTTCCATTCTGCCTCCTTTTCCAGCCCTTCTGAACTTTGTCCTGAGGTAAATGCTTCCCTTTTGATGTTGAATGGTTGACCATTCCATGGTGTGCATACCTCACTGGTGGCGTTGTCTCCACTACATGCCAGTCTACTGCTTATCTGGAAATTGAGCCACAAGAGTTCAATCCCAGACCTGAAAGATGACCAAGGGCCTTAGTCTCAGGTTCCTCCAATCTCTTTCTGAACAATAAACCTGGTCTTTTTTTTTTCTTTCTTTCTTTCATAATTTTGAGTGTTGTTTCAGTTTTTCCCACTCTGTTCAGGACCTTCTAAAGTGATCTCTTTCAGAACAGTTGGCAATATTAGCCGGGCACCATCTAGTTCTTCTGGTCTCATTGTCATGGAGACAAATGATCACATGTTCCATTAGTCTGTTGAACTAATTGATTCCAAGTGTTTTTCAGTTTTTATCACTCTTCTTTCTTCTGCACAGGGAATGACCAGTAGCTGTACCTTAGCTGGCTACTCATGTTATTTCTCCATCTCTCTTGCAGGTCCCTCGGGAGGTAGGTGTGATAACTGACTCACCTGAATTTACTTGCCCATGAGTGCAGATGGCCTGATGAGGCCAAACTCCCGGTCCAGGGGAGCAAGAAGGTAGCAAATCCACACGTAAGGCCGCCCTGTGGTGAGTGTGTAGGAATGAAGACAACAGCTGTGTTTCACTGCTCACAGAATGCTTCCCCACCTGACTTCAGTGGCTGGGGTAACGGTTGGGAGAGGATGTTGGACCAGTAGATATTGCTTAATCTCAAGCTTAAATCTTGAGCCTTGGTGTTCCTGTCTGTAAAATGGGATAGCAGACCGCCTCACAGCAGTGAGTGAGGCAGTTGTTGCTGTTGTGAATTTCCATCAAGTTGGCTCCCACACAAGGTGACCAGATGTAGTTGTCTGGTCCTACACCATCTTCTCTTCAGGATTGTTGGTGTGTTTAAACCCATGGTTGCAACTGTTTTGCCGATCCATCTCATTGAGGGTCTCTCTCGTTTCCACTGACCCTCTACTTTACCAAACACGATGTCCTTTTTGACATGCTGAAAGCTCCAAGTAGGATTTAAAATGGGCTACAGACCATGGAATCCTGGCGTGGCGCTGTGGGATAAATTCTGGACTGCGAGGTCGGTTTGAACTGCAGTCGGTGGTTCAAACCCACCAATTGCTCTTCAGAAACCATATGCAGCATTGTTGTGAGTCAGAACTGACTTAACAGCACTTAAAAACAGCAACTGTGGAATTATGATAATGCTATTTAAACAGTGCTATGCATGATGTCTTTTTAGCTTAGCATTCAAGACACCCCTTACTTCCCCCCTGAGCTGTAGATTGGGCTGCCCTTCTTACCTCATCTTACAGATGAGGCAACTGAGGCAAAATCACTTGTCAGTGTCATGCAACCTGCAGGCGACTGAGCCATGACCCAAGTCTCCAGTCCCTCGGCCCCAGTTTGGGTAGACTGAGCAACTATGGCACTCACTCCCACTTTCCCCTGCCAGCTGGTCGGCCAGCCTGCCGTGCACCTGAAGCGGGACTTCTTCCTGGCTAATGCATCACGAGCCCGCTCCGAGCAGTTTATCAACCTGCGGGAGGTCAGCACCCGCTTCCGCCTGCCGCCCGGGGAGTATGTGGTGGTGCCCTCCACGTTCGAGCCCAACAAGGAGGGTGACTTTGTGCTGCGCTTCTTCTCGGAGAACAAAGCAGGGACAGAGTGAGTCCACAGTCCCTGCAGCCCAGCCTCCTCCCTCAAGCTCTGGCCTTAGGCCCCTCTGACTGGCCCTTCCTTTTCCTTCTCCACAGGGAACTGGATGACCAGGTCCAGGCCAATCTCCCTGATGAGGTGCGTGGCCCTTCCTTTCTCCCTCCCCTCTGCCACCAGGAGATGTGATGGGAACTTCACGCACTGTTCCCTGGGCCCCTCTGGCAGGAATAAAAGTAATGTTATCAGTAATGTAAAGGGCAGCCTGTTCGGCTGCTAGCCAAAGGGTTGGAAGTTTGAGTCCACCCAGAGGCCCCTCAGAAGAAATGCTTGGCAATCTACTTCCAGATAATCAGCCATGGACAAACCCTGAGGAGCACAGTTCTGTCTTGACATACAGGGTCACTATGAGTTGGAATGGACTCAGTGGTAACTGCTGGGCACATGATAGTTTGCAAAGGACTTTGTGGTCATCTGGTGTATGGTTTCCTAAGTGTTCATAGTTTGCTGGATCCATTCTGAGCACTTTGCCTGTATCAGCCATCTCCCTTTTATCAAAGGGAAACGGAAGTTCAGAGAGGTCAAAAACCTGCCCAAGTTGGCACAGCAAAGGCCCTAACTCTCACCCTCTATCTCTGAGCTCTACTGTACCCCCATCATTTAGACCCCAGAAGGCTTGGGTTGGAGAGACCAGGGCAGTGCAAGGACTGGATCAGAATTTTCTAGATTAAAGGGGAAGAGGCATGTAGCTAGTGAGTGGGCCCAACCCCGCCTCCAGCTGCCTCTGGGATGCCTCTTACCTGCTCTCCACCCTTCTTCAAACAGCAAGTGCTCTCAGAAGAGGAGATTGATGAGAACTTCAAGGCGCTCTTCAGGCAGCTGGCTGGGGAGGTAAGTGGAAGCATAGTGGGGTGGCCAGGTTCCCGAGGATCAGCCCTTCTTGGGGCAGGTGCCATCTCTCTCTTTCCCAGGACTTGGAGATCAGCGTTAAGGAGCTGCGGACCATCCTCAACAGGATCATTAGCAAACGTGAGTCCCCAAGCCACTGCTGCCCACCCCTATTTCCTCCTGGCTTCAGCTGAGCTGAGCCCCACCCCCTTGACCTGTGTAGGGGGCATTCCTGCTCACACTCATTTCCTCCCCTCCTCCTGCTGTCTGGTTTGAACCCTGTTCTTACAGTCTGAGCTTGTGCTTCTTGGTGATGGGAAGTAGACCTGGCTGTGGGCAGTGCAGCCTTTCAGATTCAGGCAGACCTTAGCTGAAAGCACCTTTGTGCAAATAAAAAGGCTCCCTTCCACCCAGAAGACTGGCTTCATCCGCCCTGAGGCAGCCGCCTCCCCGACCGTCTTCTTTCCTCTGTCCTGTGCTCCAGAAACTCTCCTCACCCTGAAACCGGCAACGTACGCCACCCACCACTGTCTGCCTTTGCTTTACGTTTCTACCACACTCCCTTCTTTTCTATTTAACGTCATTCCATTTTCCTTTGGTCTACTCCCGATGGTTGTTGGGAGCCCTGATTTGATTGCTGAAATATTCTGCACTGTATTTTCTAAGGATAAAAACAAGACTACACACAGACTCTGCTGGATCTTATGGTCCCGAGGCAGGACTCATGCCTCCCAGACCCCTGTGCAGCCCGGGGTGGAGGTGGGGCAACATGGGGCAGGCAAAGGAAGGTCATGGGTTGAGTTGTTGAAGCTGGTTTTCCTGACAGACAAAGACCTGCGCACCAAGGGCTTCAGCCTGGAGTCATGCCGTAGCATGGTGAACCTCATGGACGTATCCTTGCAGCCGGCGCTGAGTGGGGTTTTGGGTGGGGCAATGTTGGCATAGGAAAAGTGCTGGGTGAGCTATCCTGTGACCAGCAGGGAAGGGGCAAAGCTGTGGAGTGTGGGTGGTCAAACGCCTTTTTGGGCATCTGATTGGGAGAAGGTAAACTGAAGCTCTTAGTGGCCCTAAGGCTGATGCCCTTCTTCATCCTCCCCAGCCCAACCCACTGCCCCTCCCCCCCCCCCAGACTGAGGCAGCCTGGCTGCAGTTTGATCACATGGGGCTCTTGTAGTTTCTCCCTCCCTTCTCCAGTCTCCCCTTCTCTGTGTTGGCTCACCTCCCCCTGCCACCTCCCTGCCTGTCAGCCCCCGGCCTCAGCTGTAGAGTTGCCTTCTTAATGGTCCCAGCGTGATGGCAACGGGAAACTGGGCCTGGTGGAGTTTAACATCCTCTGGAACCGCATCCGGAATTATCTGGTAGGTGGTCCTGACTGACTGATGCCCTCCCCCTCTGCAGCTTCAGTCTCAGCTGGGCAGGCCAGGCTGCAGCCCCTAAGTGGGCTGGCTCACTTTTGGGGTCTCCTTGCCCTTCAACCCACACCCTTAACAACCTAGGGGCAGCAGGAAGGGCAAGAGACCGTGGGCAAGGACTGATACTGTAAATGGTCCTCACTTTCTGCCCCCCTCCCCAGACCATCTTCCGAAAGTTTGACCTGGACAAGTCCGGCAGCATGAGTGCCTATGAGATGCGGATGGCCATTGAGTCTGCAGGTGAGGCCCAAAGGATGGTGTCACTGTGGACCGAGGGTCACTGCTCTGTGGCCCAGGTCACTTCCCTGACAGCTGCCCAGGGCAATGCCCCAGCCCACTCACCTTGTCCCTGGGGGTGATGGTGGTGGAGGTAATGGTGACAGTGATGGTGACAATGGTGGTGTGCTGACAGCCATCCTCTTTGACCTTTTTCCCATCTGACCAAGCACTACAGTTGTGCCAAGTGCCTTCCTAGAAGCCTTTCCTTTCATCCTCTCTGCAGCCAAATGAGAGTTGTTGTTGTTAAGTGTCTGGTTTCCAAGGAGTGGCTGGTGAGTTTGAACTGCCAATCTTATGATCCGGTGCTTATCCTATAGCAGAACATACCGGGACTCCAAGTAAGAGTTGTTGTTGTTGTTAGGTGCCATCAAGTCGGTACAGACTCATAGCGACCTCATGCACAGCAGAACGAAACACTGCCTAGTCCTAGGCCAACCTCACCATTGCTGCCATGCTTGAGACCATTGATGCTGCCACTTGGCCATCCATCTCATCGGGGGTCTTCCTCTTTTTCTCTGACTTCCCATCTTACCAAACATGATATCCTTCTCCAGTGACTGGTCCCTCCTGACAATATGTCTGAAGTATGAGAGACAAAGTTTGGCCATCTTGGCCTCCAAAGAGCACTCTGGCTGCACTTCTTCCAACACAGATCTGTTGGTTCTATGGGCAGCCTATGGCACTTTCAATATTCTCCTCCAACACCATAACTCAAAGGCATCAATTCTTCTATGGTCTTCCTTATTCACTGTCCAGCTTTCCATACATATGAGGTTATTGAAAATACCATGGCTTGGGTCAGGCACACCTTAGTCCTCAAGCTGACATCTTTGCTCTTCAACACTTTAAAAAGGTCTTGTGCAGCAGATTTGCCTAATGCAATACGTTGTTTGATTTCTTGACTGCTGCATCCATGAGTGTTGCTAGTTGATCCAAGAAGAATGAAGTCCTTAACAACTTCAATCTTTTCTCCATTGATAAGAATGTTGTTTATTGGTCCAGTGGTGAGGCTTTTTATTTTCTTTACATTGAGATGTAATCCATACAGAAAGCTGTGCTCTTGGAGCTTCATCAGTAAAATAAGAGTAGGATTGTTTATTATTATCCCCATTGGGCATATGAGAAAAATGAGGCTCAGAGAGGGAAAGTGACTGGCCTTAGCCAACACAGCTCAGAAAGCAAGGCTCTGGAGTCCCCAGTGAGATAGGTTCAGGGCTTAGCCATAGGCCCATTCAAGGCCAAGGCCAAGGCCAGACATTTATAACAAATTGAACTGGATTCCTGGGCCCTCTTTGGCCAATACCCAGTTCCCTAGGATTTCCTGAGCCCTGTCCTCACATGGTTCCCCCTGACCCAGATAGCCCCTATTCTCCCCATATAACTCTCCTGCCCCTACACATCACCCCTGTCCCCATGCAGTTCTCTGGCCCTCACATGATGCCCCTGCCCTCACACATCTTCTCCTACCCCCACACTGTTCCTCTGGCCCTCCCTTCTCACACATGGCTCCCCTTGTCCTTATGAGGTTCCCCTGCTGCCCTCATAAGAATCTCCCCTCTCCCCGAGAGCTTCCCCTGCCCCCACACAGTTCCCTCTACCCCTACACACTGCTCTTGCCCCCACATGACTCTCCTCACACACTGTCCTCTCCTGATCAGGCTTCAAGCTTAACAAGAAACTGTACGAGCTCATCATCACCCGCTACTCCGAGCCTGACCTGGCCGTGGACTTTGACAACTTCGTGTGTTGCCTGGTGCGCCTGGAGACCATGTTCCGTGAGTGTCCCTGGGCAGGCACCCGGCCTGCACTCTGCCCCACGGGAGCTGGTGAAAGGACAGATGGGCTGTTGACAGCAGATACAGAGGCTACTGTGCTTGGCGATTGAAAGCTGGAGCTGAGCCATAGGGGAGGGCAACGGGCGGTGAAGGGTTCTCAGGTAGTGGGCTGAGCCCCGTCCATCCAGGCTTTGAGGGGTGAGTGAGCTAGGGGTGCTGTGGGAAGGTAGGGGCAGTCTTGGTCCTGTTGTGCATGCCCACTGAGCCCTCAGCTTCACACCCTCATATCTTGAACATACAGGGTTTTTCAAAACTCTGGACACAGATCTGGATGGAGTTGTGACCTTTGACCTGTTTAAGGTGAGAATTTTGAGGGGGTCCATGGTGGGAGAAAGCTCCTGAGCTTTCTTGCCTGACCTGAGCTCTTTTGTTCCTTGCTGGGCAGGAGCTGTGGCCCCTAGAACCCTGGAAGGACAGGGTGGGTGCCAGAGCTCTGTGGGAGTGAGTACCCACTAGGTCTCTGGGCAGGGGAGTCAGAAGGTCACTCCCACACCATGGCCCCTCTCCAACCTGCCCCTGGGGGGCTGCTGAGTCAGGGGACTGGGAGGCTGGACTTGGGGCTTTGGGGCCCATTGCTGCTGCCCCTGGCTGCCCGCCCTCTCTCTTCCTCTCAGTGGTTACAGCTGACCATGTTTGCATGAAGAGGGGCTCCCGACTCTCCCCGCTGCGTCCCCGCCCTCTTTCATCTGCCAAGCCGCTCTGTGCCTCCTGCCAACCACCGCAGGCCACACCAGCTACAAGTGCCTTCCCTGGAGCATGGAGACCCTTCTTCCTGTCCCCCACCTCCCAGCCACCGTGGCTCATCTGCCTGGGCAGCACTGGGGTGTCCTCCTGCCTCCAGAGGCTGTGGACTCAAGCTGGACCCTCAGACCCTCCCATCACCAAGCAGGAAGGCAGCTTTCGCTTATTTCTGCCTCCGGGTAGAACTTCTGGGGGAGCTGACAGCCCTGGACCGCCCCCAAGAACTCTGATGTGCCCCTCTTGTTACCCCCTGGTGCCACCATCCCAGCTCCAAGCCCTTGACCTCACTGCGACTTTTTATTATAACCACTAGCTTGACACAGTCGTGACATCCAGGCTGTGCAGAGCCTCCCTCCAGTTGGGCCCTCCCCGCCCCCCCCGCTCCCCCCCAGAGGCTGGGGATATCTGTGTCCTATGCAGAAGCCAATGTCCCTTGTGCCCCTATGTCCTCCTGCCCCCCTACCAGGAAGCTGCCTGACTGGAGAGTGGTCAGGCCACCCCGTCCTTTTTTTATATTGGTGATTCAAAGGGGACTCTTCATTCAGGGGCAGGTTTACTGGTCATGAACGTGGGGCAGGAGGTTTCAGGTTCTATGCAGAGGAACCTCAAATAAAAAGGAAAAGGGCCCCCCACAGCGGCTCTGGAGTGTGTTTCTGCCCAAACCTGTTGCGAGGGAAGGATAGCTCCCGCTGTCACCCCCACCTCATTGCCCCCATCTCTTCCCCATTGCTCTGGAGCCTCGTGTCCTTGCTGGAGTACTGGGCATCTGGCCCAGGGAGGGTGGGTCCAGTGTCTCAGCTGCAGGGACAGGCCACACTGCTGGGGTCCCACGTGGCCCTGCTGAGTCCTACACACCTCCTCAGAGACCTGTCCCAAGAGGCTCCAGCTGAAACCCAAGCCTATACTTAGCACAAACCCGACGCCCCAGGGAGCTCCCTGAGCACAAAGCCGCCTTCAGGTCCTCTGGGGGGGATGCTCTTGTGACCCAGACACCTGTGGCTTACATAATCCCCTACAGCCTCTCTGGGATTTGGGCTTTTCTTACCAGAGATAAGAGTGGGTGGAGGTGGGGGTAGGATGGTGAGGGCTTGGGGCCCACAAACTACATCTGCAGAGCAAAGGTGGAAAGAGCCTGGGGACTGGGCAGGCTGCCCTCTGGTTGGAGCTGCAGACAAGTGGGGGATCCTGCAAGGCCCCAGGTGGCAGGCTGCCTGGACACCCACTGGCCCAGAGCCCAGAGCAGGGATTTCCCGAGCTAGCATTCCACCTCTGACACCTACTCTGGAATCTCCTGGCCAGGTCCTGCTGGACCCAGCATCTTCATGGGTCAGGGGGCCTGGGCAGGCAGGTGCTCTGGACACCACATCCTCAGTCAGTACAACACCCTCCAGGAGTCCTGCATTGGGTTTTATTTGACAACAGGGCAGGGACGCTGTGGGTCTGGCAGATCTTGTGACCCTGAACCCAAAAGTCTTGTCTCTGAAGCTGTGGGGGAGGGGGGGGAGTCAAGGAGAGCAGGGCTTCCTTTCCAAGGCCCTATTTGGGCATTTTACAAGGACTTTTCTTAGTGTCTCCTGTATAGCCCAGCCCCCAGCTCTCACAAGGTTTGGGAGACATTAGCTTTAGTCACAGGGACCCCACGATCTGACCTCCAAGCTCTGTAACACACAGCCAGATACAGGGAATGCACCCAGGGACAAGGGTGCCGGGTGGTGGTAGGATCCTGCCAAAGCCTCATGGTGGCCTCTGGGGGCGGGTACAGCACGTGAGGTCCTATGAGCCTGCAGATCTGGGCAGTGGTCTATGAGGCCACCCTTGGGGGCCCCTCACTTTTCTAACCTGGGGGTGACTGGCAGCAGGGAGGGAAGAGCAGAAAAGGAACAGAAGGCCAGCCTGCTGAGCCTGGAAGCAGGGATGTCCGTTGGCGTGGGGACACCAAGACCTCCCACTAGGTGTAACCAGACTCTGATCTGTGGTCTCCAGCCCAGCCTAGTTCCCCGCCTCCCTGGGCCCCTCCTGGCCCCCTTACATAAGGCCCCCTGCAGCCAGGTCAGGTCAGGCCTGAGGCCATGGCCTTCACAGACCTGCTGGACGCTCTGGGCGGTGTGGGTCGCTTCCAGCTCGTCTACACGGCCCTGCTGCTGCTGCCTTGCAGCCTGCTAGCCTGCCACAACTTCTTGCAGAACTTCACAGCCGCAGTGGCCCCCCACCACTGCCAGGTGCCCACCAACCACACCACAGCTGCTACCAACCACTCGGGTAGATGGCTGAGGGCCAACGTGCCCTTGGACCCACTTGGAGTCCCAGAGTCATGCCAGCGCTTCACCGAGCCACAGTGGGTCCTCCTGAACCCGAACACCTCTGTCCCCGGAGCAGCCACGGAGGGCTGCAAGGACGGATGGGTCTATGACCGCAGTGTATTCCCATCCACCATTGTGACAGAGGTCAGCAGGGGCCAGATCAGTGTGGGGGGGCCGCTGCCTAAGGCTGAGCAGCAGTGACTCTTTCTCCCCCACAGTGGAACCTGGTGTGCGAGGCCCGCACCCTCCGAGACCTGGCGCAGTCTATCTACATGACCGGTGTGCTGGTGGGCGCCGCTGTGTTTGGGAGCCTCGCAGACAGGTGAGCTGAAGACTAGCAGCCTTTGGAGAAGAGGGTCCAAACACCCAACATGGGCATTTCATTTCTTTTCCTTTATTAAAATTCAGTAGTGTTGTTTCGACATATCCCCCACAATTTGAAGTTGTCGTGGGGCTATATTTCAGTTACTTCCAAAGAGACAAAGGCAGCTGGGATTGCTTTAGAACACATCTTTGTTTCCTGGTGTGGGTGGTCCCACACACTTACCTTGTTGTTGTTATGTGCCTTCGAGTCGGTTCCGACCCACTTACCTTAGGGTCACTTAATGTCTTTCAACAAGGCAGATGTGGGGTTCACTAGAATTTTGTTCCTGATCTTTTCTTTTAGGAAGGGGTGGGACTGAGTATACGGGATGGGCGAGAAGCATAAGAAAGGGGAGAGTGTGTGTCTGTGCATGTGTCTGAAATTCACCATTATCCCCGCCTGTGTCTGGGGAGGCCCAGGTATCTAATGTATTTTGCTGCTGACTGCAGTATGCATTTCTCCCAACTCATCTGTGTTTTCTAAATGCACTCTAAAAGGATTCATCAAATCATCTTGTTCAGATGGCTTAGGGTTCTCATTCTTTTTTGCTAGCCCTGTGTTCTTGGGTTCTGTAATATTACTGTGATTCTGTAACAAGAATGGTGTTATGCTGTAATCATTCATATAGAGCTTTGTTGTTGTTGTGAAGTGCCGCCAAGTTGATTCTGACCCATAGTGACCCTGTTCAGAGTTTCCGAGGAGCAGCTGGTGAGCTTGAACCGCCAACCTTGCAGTTCAAATGACTTTGAAGTCTGACACATTAACCCACAGAACCACAGCAGGACTCCATTATATAGAGCTATAAGTGTAGAAAATTTTTATCAGTTTAAAAAAAAATATGTATCCTGTTTGCAAAGGCACAATAAATTTGCATTATAGAGACTATGTTGTTGTTGTTAAGTGCCATCGAGTCGGTTCTGACCCATAGCGACCCTGTACAGGGTTTCCGAAGGTGTAAATCTTTACGGGAGTAGAAAGCCTCATCTTTCTCCCGCGGAGCGGCTGGTAGTTTCGAACCGCTGACCTTAAGGTTCGCAGCCCGATTCGTAACCACTACGCTACCAGAGCTCCTTGCAAAAAAAAACTAGCAATAAGCCTTATTTAACACAAACAAACAAAAATCAGTAATTTTTTAAAAATAGATACACAGTCACCAGGTTTAAATGTCAGAAAATATAAAATAATGTGAAAAAGTCTCCCTTCTAGGTTCTGCCCAATCCCCAGTTCTTTCGTAGGAGTCACCCCTTTTCCCCGTATCTTCCCAGAGATCCTTTATGATTTTATGCATATTTAGGCAAATGTGCATATAGGCTCTACCCCCATTTTTATGCAAATGTTGGCACGCTTTATGAATAGCTCTGCATCCCAAGTTTTCCACTGAGCACTACATCTTGGAAGCCGTGTCCACGTTCCTCTGGAAAGAGCTTGTGGGTCGTCCCTAATGCCTGCACGACGGTGTCCTTTATATGAATTAGCTGGAACTTAGACCTTTGTCTCGTTAGACAAGGCCCAGGAAATTCAACATCTTTCTCTTCCTCTCTGCTCCTCTTCCCTACTTTCTCCCTTTCTATCCTCTATCTCCTCCCTGCTCACTCTCTCACCCTTGTGGATTCAGGCCCCTATAGCCTTCCTTGGGCTCCTCCTCCATCAGGCCAACCCGCAACCCTGAAGTGCAGCCCATTCCCCTGTGGCTGTCTTGTGAGCCTCCCTGCACTCTGACACATGTCTTTGTTTTCTGTGTAACAGCGAGTTTCTGATCCACAGTGTCTTGTCTGTCACCAGCCTTCAGCTCTGGGCTGAAACTGTGTTGTTGTTTTTAAGTGCCATTGAGTTGGTTCCCACCCATAGCGACCCTGTTTCCAAGGAGCTGCTGGTGAGCTTGAACTGCCGACCTTGCAGTTCAAGTGAATTTGCAGTCTGGCGCATTAACCCACAGTGCCACATCAGGACTTTACTTAGGGGCTGACACTTAGGGGTGATCAATGAACATTTGTGGAGTGAATGGGTGTTTGTGTGTGCCAAGGGAAGCAGGGGACTGCAGAAGAAAGCTGCCCATCAATTCTTGGTGTGTAAGGTGTAGCTGTCATGCCCAGCACAGTCAGCCTCACTTGCAAGGAGGCTGTGCCAAGGCCAGAGTGGGTACAAAGCTGCTACCCATTCTTAGACTGCAGTCTTCTCAAGGTCATGAGTTCAAGGGAAGACTCAACCTTAGGCTCCTGCTCCCACCTGTGAAGGACTCATCCAGGGCTTCCTGCCTTGGCCATAAAGGGAGCTGTCTGAGTGCGTCCCTCCTTTCCAGCTAGAAGCTCTCACAAGGACCACCCACCACCACCTATATGCCCTCTGACCTTTCCTGATCACGCCTGGTAGGCAGTTCAGAAACACTCCATGAATGAATGAATGGAGGGAGGGAGGACTAAATCTCTTCATCTTCAGCTTTCTTCCCTTCCTACCAACCCTGTTACCATAGCTTGGGTCCCAGCAGAGGGGCTTTTCTGTTTGGGTGGACTGACTTTCCTGGATGCCTCCAGTATTTGCCCTCTGGGCACCCACTTTGGGCAGATGAATGGAGGCAGCTGGTTTGCTCCCTTTGGGGCACCTCAGAACCCAGTGCTTGTTTGATTTCCATACAGGCTGGGCCGCAAGGCCCCCCTGATCTGGTCTTACCTGCAGCTGGCAGTTTCAGGGGCCGCCACAGCGTATTTTGGTTCCTTCAGCGCCTACTGTGCCTTCAGGTTCCTGACAGGCATGACCTTCTCTGGGATCATCCTCAACTCCCTCTCACTGGGTGAGTCCAGCCTGGGAGGGTGGGAGTCTAGAGGGCCCTGGGCTTTCCAACCCTGGGAAGGTAGGGTCTGGAGGACCCGGGGCTCTCTGAAGAAGGGAAATGAGAACCTGTGAATGCTCTGTTTCCTATTGATTTGCAAGAAGTCTTCCATATTAAGGAAATTAGCCCTTTCTCTGCTATTTGATTTGTAATTTTTTGTTTGTTTTTCCAGTTTATGACTTTGCTTATGGTGTTCTTTTTCATTGTTCTTATTTTTAATGAAGTCAAGTTTGTTGATTTAACAGTTGCCTCTGTGTTTATGGCATCCTTGTAAAGACCTTTTCCTACTCTAAAATTGTATGATTTCTTCTAATATTTTTACTGTTTTATGCTTTCATTGTAATTCTTTGGTCCACCTGGAATTTATCTGGCTGTAAAGAGTGAAAGTGAGCAAATGATTAACCCACACAACTGCTAACCAAAATGGTGAGGTTTGAGTGTACCCAAAGGTCTCTGAAGAAAGTCCTGGAGATCTACTTCTGCAAAAAGCAGCCATGACCCTCCCCCAAGACGGCAACTGTAGAAGATGAATTGCTGCTGCCAAGGCTCCCAGAGCTGTTTGAAACCTGCAAGCAGTTTCTAGATGAAGTGGAAGGAGCCACTGAACCCACCAGTTCCCAGATGGTCCAGGAAAAGGTGTTCAAGGGATTGGATGGAACTCCTTGAGAAGGTTGTGGGAATGTTATCGCAGCTCGACTTGTTCAGCCGAAATGAAGATTTAGAAGAGATTGCGTCCACTGACCTGAAGTACCTGTTGGTGCCAGTGTTTCAAGGAGCCCTTGCCATGAAACAAGTCAACTCCAGCAAGCGTCTGGATCATTTGAAGTGGGCTTGAGAACACTTTATAACTCAGTGCCATTGCTATCATGTGGCGGACTTTGAGCTACCGAAAACCAAGAACAACTCTGCTGAAAACAACACTGGTAGCTCCGCCATGGCGTATCCTACCCTTGTCATTATGGCATCTCAAAGACAGGCTAAAATAGAGAGATACAAGCAGAAGAAGGAGATGATGGAACATAGATTGTCTCCATTGAAGTCTGCTGTGGAAAGTGGTCAAGCAGATGATGAGCGTATTCGTGAATATTATCTCCTTCACCTTCGAAGGTGGATTGGTATCAGTTTGGAAGAAATTGACAGCATTGATCAAGAGATAAAGATTCTGAGAGAAAAAGACTCCTGAAAACAGGCATCAACTTCTCACACATCTCGTCAGGACAGGCCGTCATTGAAACCCTTCAGTCTCACTCGAGACATGGCCCAAGCCAAGGTATTTGGAGCTGGTATCCAAGCCTGGTAACTATGACAGTGAATGACTGGTATGAACAGCATCGGAAATACAGCGCATTACCTGATCAGGGAGTAGCCAAGACCACATCAGCTCAGCACAGGAAGACCAGGAACAAAAGGAGGAAGACAATGATGAGAAAACACTGCACAGAGTCCGGGGGTGGGATGACTGGAAGGACACACATTCTAGGGGTTATGGCAATAGACAGAACATGGGCTAAACTTCCCACCACAAGATGGGACTAGAGGAGCTGACGTCTTCCTCTTCAAGGAAAGCTGTATGGTTTTCCCCTCCCTGGGCTCTTGCTTTGGCAAAGATGCTTCATCTTGCTTTGCATTCAATAAAGTGTCAATTGATTGTGTATTTGTACTCTAGATCATGAGCCAACAATCATGGTTCGGCATTATCATTCGCATCATCATGTATTCCAATTTCTTAAAAGAAGTGGGAAAAAAATGAGCTCTTTGAGAAGTGACTCTGTATAATCAATGGCTGTTTAAATTCTCTTTTTAAAATAAAAATCCCTTATATGAGCCTCTTCAAAAGAAAGGGGAAAAAAAGCAGCCATGAAAAGCCCTATGGAGTCCTGGTGTGGCACTGTGGGAGAAACACTGGATCACAAGACCAGTTTGAACTGCAAGGTTGGCGGTTCAAGGTCATCAACCGTTCCTTGGAAACCCTATACAGGGTCGCTATGAGTCGGAACCAATTTGATGGCACTTAACAATAGCAAGAGCCCTATGGAGTGCAGTTCTACTCTGACACACGTGGGGTCACCATGAACCAGAATTGACTCAACAGCCACTAGGTGAGGAGTAAGACAGAGAGGCTCTGCCTGTGTCTCGTGGATCTGTGCAATTATTTCAGGTTAATGCTTGAGGTCTCTGTGAATTGGAATTGATTCCATTTATGGCAATGGTTTGGTTTTTGGCTTTAATTACCAGATTGTCAGAAAGGGACAAAGACCCACCATCACCCATTCAATTCAGACTCATAGTCACCCCAAAGGACAGAGTAGAATTGTCATTAGTGTTTCCGAGTCTGTCAGTCTTTCTGGGAGCAGACAGCCTCATCTTTCTCCCATGAAGTGGTTGGTAGGTTTGAACCACCGATCTTGCAGTTGGCAGTCCAACACTTAACTCACTGATAGCCACGTGGGCTGTTGAGTCATACGAAGCATCTTGTTTTTCCTCAGTCGTGGAGTGGATGCCCACCCGAGGCCGGACTGTGGCGGGTATCCTGTTGGGGTTCTCCTTCACCTTTGGCCAAGTCATCCTGGCCACAGTGGCCTACCTGATCCGCCCCTGGCGATGGCTACAGTTCGCCGTCTCGGCTCCTTTCCTGATCTTTTTCCTCTATTCTTGGTACGTCCTGAGCAGAGATGGGTGGGGGAGGGTGCACCTGTGTGTCTGAACCCTCACCTGGGAAGCTTGGGCTATACAGTGGCTGTGACTAGCTAGATGTGATAGGGGCCCCTGGACTCACGAGCACTCAGGCCTGGCTGCCGGAAGCTTCAAGAATGTCCGTCACATCAGTGTGGCACTCCAGTGTTCTTTGTGCCTCCCCAACCCCATATGGGTACACACAGCATTTTTTCGGAGGGAAACTGAGGCACGGTCCAGAGAAGGCCCCTGACTCATTCTTCATTCTTCTCCGGATCCCAGGTGGCTGCCAGAGTCATCCCGATGGCTGCTGCTTCATGGCAAGTCCCAGCTAGCAGTGCAGAACCTGCAGAAGGTGGCAGCGATAAACGGGAAAAAACAGGAAGGACAACGGCTGACCAAGGAGGTAAGAGGGTGGCCAGAGGGAAGGGTAGGAACCTTCTTCCGTCTTGTTGGCTGCCTCCAGTTGTTCTGGAATTTGGTAATGCACTGAGACTCACCATCAGATTTAAACCAGCTGCCATCGTGTTGGTTCGGACTCACAGTGACCCATGTGTGTCAGAGTAGAACCGTGCCCCAGAAAGCTGTCAGTGACTTGATTTTTCACAAGTAGATTGCCAGACCTTTCAAGAAACCTCTGGGTGGACTCAAGCTTTCATCTCAAACGTGTTTTTTGTTGCTAAACCCTGTCGAGCTAGTTCCTACTCATAGCAACCCTATATAGGGCTTCTGAGAAGCAGCTGGTGGGTTTGAACAGCCAACCTTGTGGTTCACAGTCCAGCACCACACCAGAGAGAGGAGACTACGGTCAACCATTTTGCCAGGAATCTCTATTTCAGCCCTGCTTGCCACCAATGAAGGTATTCCCAACAAGAAAAAGAGAGTTCCCTAACCAGACTTTCCTCACCCAGGTGGTGAGCTCCTACATCCAGAGCGAATTTGCAAGTAGCCGCACCTCCAGCTCGGTCTTGGACTTGTTCCGAACGCCAGCGATCCGCAAGGTCACGTGCTGTCTCATGGTGGTCTGGTAGGTCTTTGATCTGAGGTAAGGACACAGTTTGTCCTGAAGACCACTCTACCTGCAATGTGCAGACGAGTCCCTCCATCCCTTTCTCCAGCACTTGGCCCTCTGCGAGGTGATGAGATGTGATGATAGACGAGACATGTATGCTGACCCAGGGACCCACGTGTGGGAAGAGGGTCTCGCCTAGGCATCACCCAGATGGATTTCCCAAAATGCACCTTGTCTCAACCCGCTGTGCCTTTGAGGCTTTCAAGGGGATTCCAGGAGTTGTCCAGCAGTGGACAGACAGAAACAGTATCTTCGCTGCTGGGACCATAACTGCAGTTGCCTTGGTTGGGTTGCTGAGACTTCAGGCAGGAGGAGAGATCAAGAAATACACAAATGGCCATTTTTTATTTTGATTCATTGGATTTCCTGGATATTTTAATAATAAACAAACAAACAAAGCCGTTGCTAACAAGTGGATTGCACTCATGGTGATGCCATGTGTGTTACAGATTAGAACTGCTCCATAGGGCTTTCTCAGCTGGGATTGTTTCGGAAGCGGATTGTCAGGTCGGTCTCTATAGTGCCTCTGTGTGAGTTCACACTGCACAGTAGTTGAGTGCAAAATTGTTCATGCCACCGCTGGACCGAGTTCACTGATAACAATAATAAAATGCTGTCATTGAGCCAGGCCCCACTCATAGCGACCCTCCAGGACGGAGCACAACTGCCACGTAGTGTTTCCAAGGTTGCAATCTTTATATCACAGACTGCCTTCTCTCTAGCCCTTGGAGTTACTGGTGGGTTTGAATCACAGACTTTTCAGGTAGTTGAGAACTTAACCACGTCACATTCAGGACCCCTATTTTAATAAGAGGGGTCGTTCTTATGGAGTAGAAAACATGGGCGGTAGATTATATCTGTTCTTTGGAACAGACCCAAACACTCTGATTTAGCAGTATGGCCTTGAGCAAGCCAGTGAGCCTCCCTGTGCCTCAGTTTCCCAATCCTCCATACCTGTCCACTAGATCCTTATAAGGATTAGCCGTTACCCCTTACCATCCTGGTGTGGCGCTGTGGCCTAAAGCATCAGACTGCAAAACCGTTTGAACTGCAAGATCGGTAGTTCAAGCTCACCAGTTGCTCCTTGGAAACCCTATAGAGGGTCGCTATGGGTTGGAATTGACTCGACGGCACTTAACAACAACAATAACAACAACTTACCATCTAGTCAATCCAACCCTGTAGGACAGAGAAGAGCTGTCCCATTGTATTTCTAAGGCTGTCATCTTTATGAAAGCAATCGGCCATGTCTTTCTCCCATGGAGCTGCTGGTGGGTTCAAACTGATGACCTTTCAACCACAGCAAGTGCTTAACCACTGTACCACCAGGGCTCCTTTTTGTGAGGATTGAGAGTTAAAAGCATGTCAAAGCACAGGGAGCTTTCTTGGTAAATGAGTCTTTGTTCTGAGTGACCCTGCTGGTATTGGAAATATTGGTGGAGCAGCTTCCAGCAACACTTAGACACCACAGTGCGACGACCCGACAGACGGGTGGTGGAAGAAAGCGCTAGGAATGATTCTTTTGAGTTTTCAACGTGACCTAAAGCTCTTTAGACTATGGGAGGTTCCCACCTGTCTTTCTTCCCTCATGAGTGCCTGTCCCCACAGTAGCCTGGATGCCCTGTGAAGTCAGGAGATCTGTCCATGCATTCAGTATGGTGTACCTAGGATATAATAGACTAGTTTGTGTGTGAAGGAGAAAAGGAATGAATAAATGAAGGAATGTAATCTACATCTGAGGAAAGGAAGGAAGAAGAAAACAGAGCATTACTGACCCAGGAAGGAACAGGCAGTGCCAGGGAAACCAAGACAATAGGAATGGCCAAAAGTGAAGAGTCAAAAAGGCAGTGGTCAGTGGTGGACAAGCGGAGGGTAAGGAGAACATCAAGGTGGACCTTCAATGGCAGAGCCGGCCAGACAGGATAAGGAGATGAATGAAGCAGAGCAAATGAGCTACTCCCAAGCGCAGCAATGCCAAGCCATGTAACACCACCTTAGATGGGATTCTGAGGGCCACGATAGGTTTTACCTGGTTTTGTTTATTTTGTTTTTTTTCAGAGTGTTAAAAATAATTTCCTAATGCCTGTCTCTCTCCTCTGCCTTGAACTAGGCTAGGGCTGATGGGAATTACTCTTGTCACTCTTCTGGAAGTTTCTTTCCTTTCTTTCCCTTTCCACTAACCCTCACAGCTGGGAATGGGGGTTTGGAGTTCCTCAATCAAGTGGTTTGGGGGCAGATAGATGCTGGCCGTTCTGGGAGAGGGTCAGTGCCAAATCTCCTCCCCCACATGCTCTTGGGTGCATTGCAGCATGTGATCTGGAATAAAACATGGTTAACCCATGTGAAGGGCAGTCCCCAGTCCCTTTACCTCAGAGATCTTTTACATTTCTGAGGAAGGTTCGGGTGTGTAGACTTCAGGTCCCTGTGTCCTGTTCATCACTACCCCTTGGCCAAAGCAGTTTACTGGGTTAACAATGAGGGGTACCGTGAGGGCGGTATGGAGGCTTCATCTTATTCAAAGGCTCTTGTCTTCTCCTTCTGACTCTTAGGTGTGACACTCAGATCCGCCACTGAAAGCGGGAACCTGAAGCGGTGTTGACAGGACAAATCAGCACAGGAACAGGGTCCACAGAACAGCCTCAGGGGAGCGGGAGGCTGGAAAGGAAGTGGAGGGAGGCTTCAGGCCCAAAGCCAGTGTCAGAGAACTGGGAGACCAGGAGGTGGTGTCATTAAAGTCAGAAGATTTTAACTCCTTGAGGGCAGGAGTCCTGTGTCACTTGTCCTTGCATCTCCTCCCTGGACCCAGAGCAGTGACCCACTGGGTGACACAGGACCGTTCTGGCATCTCTCCCAGGTTCTCCAATTCCGTGGCTTACTACGGCCTGGCCATGGACCTGCAGAAGTTTGGGCTCAGCATCTATCTGGTGCAGGTCCTCTTTGGGGTCATCGATGTCCCAGCCATGCTAGTGGCCACCACTACCATGATTTACGTGGGCCGCCGGGTCACAGTGGCCTCCTTTCTCATCCTGGCTGGGTCCATGGTGATTGTCAACATGTTTGTGCCAGAAGGTGAGTCATCTGATTGTGCCCTTAACACCCACCAAGACGCAGGGAGACAGGCTCCTAGAAGCCAGCCCCTGAGGTCTGGTGGACAACAATTACCAGGACACACACTGATGGATGTTCTCCTGGAACATCTGGAAAGAGCATTTATAGAAAAGACACATTCAGAGAAAACCGCTGGAAAGCCAAAGTGCTGGCAGAGTCTGTGTCCTTTAGAAAACTGGGCAGATGGCCTGTCCACGTTTGGAGGTTAGAGTTTTTGATTCTGAACAAGACTCACCCTGGTGTTTTGCAAACCTGGCTCTAATTATCATCACCTGCAGACCTTTGACAAACCGCTCCCTCCACCCCCGTCCAGGTCACAAAAGCTATTGGTGTCTCAAGTGATGGGACCCAAGACTTGGTTTTAAAAACTCCCCAGTGAACAAGTAACAGTGGTGAGGTTTGCCCAGGATCAGGCAGTGTTTCGTTCTGCTGTGCATAAGATCGCTATGGGTGGGTACCGACTCGATGGCACCTAACAACAACAAGTGAACGAGCAGCCAGGCAGAGCATCACTGTTGTAGAGCATGAGCGAAACCATTCCTGCCTCGCTGTGAGCCCTGTTTTGCCACCATGGCCTCAGACAGGCGGTCCAACCTCTCTGTGCTTCAGTTCCTGACCTGTAAAATGGATACATTAGTGTGATCAGCAGTTAATTATTACTAGGTGTTTTGACATATTTTATTCCAGTCTTTTTTCCTATTTGTAGACATACTGAGCCATATCTATGTATGTATATATATACACATATGTTGTTGTTAAGTGCCGTCAAGTCGGTTCCGACCCATAGCGACCCCGTATAGGGTTTCCGAGGCTGTAAATCTTTACAGGAGCAAAAAGCCTCATCTTTCTCCTGCGGAGCAACTGGTAGTTTCAAACTGCTGACCTTAAGGCTCACAGCCCAATTTGTAAGCACTACGCTACCAGAGCTCTACTCTCTCTATATATATATGTGTGTGTGTGTGTGTATACACATACATATGTTGTTGTTAAGTGTCATCAAGTCAGTTCCAACTCATAGCGACCCTATATAGGGTTTCCAAGGAACGACTGGTAAGCTTGAACCACCAACCTTGTGGTTCAAACTTTCCTTGCAGTGCAACACATTAACCCATAGTGCCATGCCACATATAATTCTATGATTTTGTATCTGTTTTTACTATATGTTACAATATAAATGTGAGTCACTGGGCAGTGCAAATGGTTAACACGCTTGGCTGCTAACCAAAATGTTGGTGTTCAAGTGATCCAGAGGCACCTCGGAAGAAAGGTCTGACAATCTTCAAGCAAAGAATCATCCACTGAAACCCTGTGGAGTCCAGTTCTAGTCTGACATACATGGATGGAGTTGTCATGAGTCAGAATTGACTTGATGATGACTGGCATGGTATGGCATATCATAAATAATCTGTTCCATGTTAGGACAAATGTTTCCTGAATCTAATGGTTTACGTCTTTATAATATTTCAGCTGGAGTGGTGTTTCTCAACCCTGGCAGCTAAGAGATCCCCCTGGAGACCTTTTAGACAATACCAAAAAATAGTTCTTGCCAAAATATCTTTACATGTAGAGGCACAAATAATAGTAAATAAATAAAAATGTAGAAAACTCTGCTTTAGACATCTGATCTAACCATATATTCCAAAACAATCTTGATCTACATTTTAATTTTATTATCAAATTTATAAATGCCATAGCTTTGTGATTGTATTGGATACAAAGAGAGAGAGAGAGAGAGAGAGAGAGTACCAAAACTTCAGCCCATCCCCAAGAGGCTTTGATGTAATGACTATGAGCATAGCCCAGGCACAGGTGTTTTAGAAAATACCCAAACCTGATTGCAACGTGGAGCCAGAGCTGCCACCAAAGCTACAGGGCATACCATACCACAGCCCTCGGAGATGTTGGGGGTTCCGTTCCAGACCACCGCAATTAAAGTGAGTATGGGAATATTGCAATAAAGTGAGTCAGACATATTTTTGTTTCCCAGCGCATATAAAAGTTATGTTTATATTAACTACCCCATAGTCTAGTAAGGAGTCCCAGTGTGGTGCTGTGGGCTAATGTGCTGGACTGCAAAGTCGAGTTGAACTGCAAGATCGGCAGTTCAAACTCACCAGCTGCTCCATGGAAACTCTATACAAGGTTGCTATGGGTCGGAACCAACTGGACTGTGAACCACAAGGCCGGTGGTGCAAACCCACTAGCTGCTCTCAGAAACCCTACACAGGGTCGCTGTGGGTCGGAACCGACTTGACAGCACCTAACAACAGTGATAGTCTATTACGTGTGCAAGAGCATAATGAAAACGCTTTGAAATATTGAGCATCACAGTGAGAAAGGCCAAAATGTGACCCAGAAACATGAAGTAAGAACAGGCTGTTAGAAAAAATATGCCAGTAGACTTGCTTGATGAAAGGTTGCCACAAACCTTCAATTTGTAAACCTGCAATGATCTGCAAAATGCAATATAATGTTTCTGAGAAGTGGCTGGTGAGCTTGAACTGCCAACCTTGGGGTTCAAACTGACTTTGCAGTCCAGCGAATTAGCCCATAGCACCACATCTAGTCCATATTTTTTCTTTCTCTGCTGCAGTATTTTACAATTATTACTATAAAAGTCTTATGCATCATTTGTGAAATGTACCCATATTTCATACATTGATGAAATTATAAATGATATTTAATTTAACAATTTTTTGATCTATCATTTTACATAGAAATACAGTTGATTTATATAATACTTGTATTGGATCCTGCGACCTTATTAAATTCACTTATTAATTCTAATAGTATTTTAAGTAGATTTTTTTCAAATTTCTGTGCACTTTTGTTGTTGTTGTTAAGAACTTTACTTCGTGTTCTCCGATCTGTATGTCTTCATTTATTTTATCTTATTATTATTATTATTTTGTCTTCATTTATTTTAATGGTCTTATTACACTGGCTAGAACCTCTAGTGTTAGATAGATGGTGGTGGTGGTGGTGGTTATGTGCCGTGGAATTGGTTCCCACGGCAGAGTTTAGTGAACCTGCAGAGTTAGTGAACCTGCAGAGTTTCCGAGGCTGTAAATCTTTACTGGAGCAGAAACCCTCATCTTTCTCCCATGGAACAGCTGGTAGTTTCGAACTGCTGACCTTGCGGTTCACAGCCCAATTTGTAACCACTACGCTACCAGAACTCCTTTAGTCACTGAAAAATTCTGATGTTCAGTTTTCATTAGGTTATTCACAATTTGGGAATGAAAGAATCCAGTCTTTCAATAAAGTATTGTGTTTGCTGTAGATTTTTCAAAGACAGTCTTTTATCAGTTTGAGAAGCTTCTATTTCTAGTTGGCTGAAATTTTTATCTTGAATGAGTATTAGATTTTTGTCAGATGCTTTCTCTGCTTCATGAAATGATTTTTTTCTTAAACTTAAAGTGAATTCATTATTTTTTTAATCACTGAATTACATATTGAATCAAGTTTATATTCCTGAAATAAATGACCATGGGTCTGAAGGTTATTGTTTTATAGATCTTGGATTTACTTTGGTAAATTTTGTTAATAATTTTTGCCTCTGTTCATAAGAAGTGCTTATTCATTGCATTGTTAGGTTGTTATTAGGTGCCATCAGGTGGATCCCGACCCATGGTGACCCCAGGTACAACAGAATGAAACGCTGTCTGGCCCTATGCCAGCCTCACAGTTATTGTTACAATTAATCTGCTACACTGAAGACACTTGTGAGTTTATTTTGCTTGTCTTCGTATTTTATTTGTATGTTTTGAGAATGTCTTGTTGTTGTTAAGTGCCGTCGAGTCGGTTCCGACCCATAGCGACCCTGTACAGGGTTTCTGAGGGTGTAAATCTTTACAGGAGTAGAAAGCCTCATCTTTCTCCTGCGGAGTGGCTGGTAGTTTCGAACTGCTGACCTTAAGGTTCGCAGCCCGATTCGTAATGTCTTGGAGGTGCACAAATGATTAGGATTATTGCATCCTTTTGATAATCTGACCCTTTCAGTGTGAAATAATCCTTGTGACCCCTAGAAATATTTTTTGATCTGAAATCTTTGTTATTAATGTGACCGCTTCAGCTTTTTTTATTGTATTAATTCATGATGTGTCTATTTCTGTCCTTTTCATTTTAACCTATTTGTTTATTTTAAATAGGTTTCCTATAAATACTATAATAATGCAACAAAAACAACAAAAATGCAATATAACAAAGTGTGTCTGTAACTTCTTCCATCATTGCCCCTGTGGTAGACATACGGATTTTTTTTTTTTTTCTATTTATAAATATGGCTTTGCTTTTTTTTTTTTTTTAATGTTTTATTGTGAATTATGTGATAGTTTACATTGATCCTATCGTATATCATTTCATTGCTATGGTTACAATCCCCTCCATGCATCATCAACCAACCAAAAGGTGTACACTACAAGCCTGCCCCCTTACCCCCCACCCCCGGTCGTCAGCACACAGT